CCAGTATTGGTTTAGGTGACACGGTGAGGTCACATGACATCATCAACATCCATGAGGGAGCAAGAGGACTAGGATACGGCATTTCAAAACCAGAGGAATTGGGTAAGAAAACAAATGTGACAAAAAAAAAAGAGTTATTGTTGTATTTATAAAACTTCTTGTCTAGATAGTTCTGAATCTGAATAGATACTGACAAAGGACCCCACTGGGGTATTTACTATAGATATGATAGTAAAAACAGAGAATAAATACAAAATACAGTAGAACCCCCTTCCTTTAGGACACCACCCCCTCCTATTAAAGGGACACTTTCTTTGGTACTGAAGCTGTCACAGGAAATGTGATAGTGTGTAGACAGTTCTTTATACTGATTTAAAATATTTTTATTTTTTTAAAGAATTCATTAAAACAGTAGCCCAGCAGACTAGTATTTTGCTTGACCACACATACACTGGTAAATCAGCACTAGCACTGACCAACAAGCTCAGGAAACACAGGTCAAAGTTCAAAGGCAGCCGAATACTCTTTCTACATTCAGGTATGTATCCATGTTTGTGATTATTGAGGAAGGGCTGTGAAATTTGAGAATCCCTCCACCCTTTTATCTTGCTAAGGTTGCCATTCTTAAACACTCCTTATTAACATGCGCTGTGCAACATGGCAAAAACAAAGATAGTGTCTTGTTGTGCATGTGTTTAGAATACAATTTAATGATTATTGGTGGTTTGTATTTTTGTATGCAGGGAAACAGATGAACACATTCTGATGTTCTTTTTTCTTTTTTATGCATCAGGTGGAATATTTAGCATGTTTGATGGGCGGCTAGGAGATGTTCTGATGCAGTCAGCTGGAGAAACACTGGTACAGAACTGGATGAACCCTGAAGATGAACCAACTATTGTTTGATGATACATTAATCATACAATAGTTGTTTAATGATACATTAATCATACAATAGTTGTATGATGATACATTCATGAGGCTACGCTTCATGAATATCTTGTACCGCTGGAGTTGATGTATGATACACATATGAGGGCAGGCTTCATTCCTTTTTTTTTTTTTTACAGTTTATTGCACATACTATGGATTTTGCACTATAACACTGCAATGCATATCTTGTAACACTGGAGTACACATGTTGATGGATGCTACACACATGAGGGCAGGCTTCATGACATTTTCCTCAAATTGGATGTGAATTAGAATCTCAATATGCTTCAAATAAACTTGGGTGAATAGTGTGAGACAAGGTGGCTGCACCAACGCCCAGTAAACAATTTAAATATCATTTGATTTGTGTTAGGTGTTTACTATTTAACCTGTAAGCTGGGGTAGAGATTGGGTGCAAGACCAGGGTGTGTCCACATGCCAGTTGGCCATGTGTCAAACATCTTTCCTTTATGGGTCCTCAATTCCACCAAGTCACAGCCGACATTTGTCCCAGGCAATGTGTGATGCAATTATACACTCCTTAAACCCAATAATAAAAATTAGATGTTATGGTAGAAGAAAAATGTAATACTGTTACGGAGAATGTTTCTTTTACTTCAGTTTTTCATGTCTTCTCCTAATGCTTGTTTAATGCAGGCCCCTGTTAATAATAGGATTATGGTCCATGTTTAATGTTTTAAATTTTTAAATAGGTATTTTTTGTAAATTTTATATAATTCGGACTTGGATGCAATTTTAATGTTAATAAAAGAAACTGGAAAAACTGAATCTAAATAAAAGGCATTTTATTACATTATTCTAATATATGATGTCACCTGCTCATTATACTAACCTCATTAATATTTAACTAAAGTACGGTAGTTATTATTTTATATATAAAATGATAAATTGTAAACTATAGATGTGTATAAGAGACAGATTCATGACAGTCATTCGCAATTGTTGTTGTACATTCTACTCGTTTTTAAAAGTGGAGTTTTAACTTGATAAAATGTGAGGGGGACAATTGATATGATTCCCCTCCCCCCAACTTTGTAAAATCGGGGGACGTGTCACCCACTGTTAAATGCCATTGATTTGATGTGTCTTTGTGGGCTCTGTTAAGCATATTCATATTTTTTTATTAAAACGTTGCTAAATATGTTATTTCCTTATGTTTTTTTAGAGAGGAAAAGGGTATTAAAGCATATTCGATCCCTATTGGTGGATCCAATGTTGTTGGTCTCCATGGTTACTTGTGTGGCTGGCAAGAACTCTTAGAACAGGTAAGTTGATTGGCAAACTTACCTGCAAACTAATATATTAAAACATGTGATTTTTCATCCAGCACAAATCTTAATAGATCTATTATAGAACATATATATAAACAGTGTTTAATTTTGAGTAGTTTTGTAGCTTGTTGGTTGAGATGCTTGCCTGGTAATCCAGGGGTCCTGGGCTCTAATCATGCATGGATTAATTTAATGATTAAAACATTCCAGTCCCAAAGAGTTTAAATTGTGCCTATATGCATACATAGGACATGAGAGTGCAACATTGCACCTCACGATCAGTAGTCCAATACCTTACACGATGCATCACTTGCTCCTTACAAGCATGCTTATGATGTTATTGATTGATTGATTTAATTGATTTTGTTCTTTAATGATGTATTAATGTAATAATAGATT